AGGATGTCATGTGGGACGGTGTCAAATGCCTCAGCCCCTGCAGCACTATGAAGGTCATAGAATAGAATCATAGAACTGTTTGGATTGGAAAAGACTCTCAATATCATTGATCCCAACCATTAACCTAAAACAGCCAAGTCCAACACTAAACCGTATCCCTAAGCACCACATCTACACATCTTTTAAATACTTCCAGGGATGGTGACTCAACCACTTCCCTGGGAAGCCTGCTCCAATGCTTGATAACCCTTTCAGTGAAGGAAATTTTCCTAATATCCAATCTCAACCTCCCCTGGGGCAACTTGAGGTCATTTCATCTCGTTCTATCACTTGCTATTTGGGAAAAGAGACTGACACCCACCTCTCTACACCCTCCTTTCAGGTAGTTGTAAAAAGCAATAAGGTCTCCTCTGAGCTTCCTTTTCTCCAGGTTAAACAACCCCAGTTCTCTCAGCTGCTCCTCGTAAGACTTGTTCTCTCTTGAATCTGGAAGTCGCAGTCCCAGGGCTGGTGCTTCCCCTTCTGTGGTTTCCTTGATTTTTCCAACTCAGCAAAACTGGGTGATCCTGACATAATTTCCCTGGTATGATGCACTGATTTTCTTTCCTTGAAACCCTGCACCCACCCAGTGCCTGGGGGATAAAAGCAGGGCAGCAGGAGCAGAAGCCAAGCATCGTGCAGAGGACAGCCCTGGAGCCACCTCAGCTCCCAGCCCTGCTCGTGGTTCCCTTGGCCTCTGCAGCACCATGAAGGTCCCTGTAGCCACCCTGGCTGCTCTGTTCCTCTTGGCCATCTGCACCTCAGCTGAGGCCCAGTTTGATGACTCTGGTGTTGCTGCATCCTCCCAGAAGCCAGGTTTGCTGTCCCTCCCTGGGAGAGAGCCCTGTTCCCATTGATGGGATCCTCATGTCCATGGGGAGGGATGGGAGCAGGTGGTCACCAGGCTTCCAGGGGGTATCCCTAAGGGATGCAGCCCAGGTGATGGTTAATCCCTTGGGAGCCCCAGGCAGAGCCTCTGCCACAGTGTGGGGTCTCACTGGTGCTGTCTCTCTGTCCCCACAGACAACATCCCCACCAAGTGCTGCTTCAGCTACATGCGCCACCCCATCCCGCGCAGCCTCATCACCTCTGCCTACACCACCAGCAGCCTCTGCAGCCAGCCAGCGGTGATGTGAGTACCCAACACTGCCAGGGGTCGGGTGTGACAGCCAGGGCAGTGCCCCAGGTGTGTCTGAGGGTGGCCAGGAGGGGGAAGGGGGCATGGCCAGGGACACGGGGCACTGCTAGAGGGACCCAGCACAGGCACCCCGATGCCCCAGCCGAGTGCCCCAATGTTGGTTTTCTCCTGGCAGCCTGGTCACCAGGAAAGGGCGGCAGCTGTGTGTGGAGCCCCAGGCACCCTGGGTGCAGGAGTATCTGAAACACTTCCAGATGCTGAAGAACTGACCCTTCCCTGCTGCCACCCTACTGCAGGAGGCTCAGCCCCCGGCACCAGACGTGCAACAGAGTGCTTGAACTGCATCCTTCTTCAACAGGAAAATTTATTCTAATTGACATACATTTGTTAAACTAAATTTTGTTTGCTAAGGAAGTGAAAATACAAAAGCGATTTAAAAGGTATTAACATGCCTGTTAATGAGCAGTCAGGAGCTCTGATGCCTAAATAAAGTGTTTGGATTATCAAAACTTTTGTGTGTGTCTGAAGTCCCTGCTGGAGCTCCGACACAAGAGAAAGGACCCACGGGGGCTCCTTTGCCCTCCCCACACCCTGGTTTCACTGCACTCATCTTGGACAGGGCAGCCTCCGCTCCGCGAGAGCTCCCACAGTGCTTCTCCCAGCCTGGGCTCAGCTCCTGCCCCCAACATGACCCAGATGTTCCTATGGGATGATGCCAGAATCTCACCCAGGGGTTGCCTGTTTCTCAGGCTGTCCGCACACAGCGTTGTGGAGCCAAGTCACAAATCCCCCAGGCCAGACAGCCCCCCTGGCAATCTGCCACCAGCTCCATTTGCCCCAAATACTGGAGGATTAGGACAGTCTTCGACTGCACCAATGTCATCTTGCCCATCCATCTCCTTCACTACAGCCCTTTGCGGTGACGGACCCGAGGTCCCAGCACTGCAGGGTGCTGCAGCCCCCCGCCACCCGCCATCCCACAGCACTGCCAGAGGAGCAGGCAGGACCCTCCTGTGCACCTCCCCACTGCCAAAATGAATTGTCAGGTCCCCAAGGAGGAAGGTGAGCACAGAACATCCCCCTGGGCACTTGCAAAAGGGGATTTTGGCCAATGCCCAGCTCTGCAAGCAGAGGCTCCCGCACCATGGGAAGGTGCTCTGGCCTCTCCCCCGTCCTGCTCTCCAATGCCATGGGGGCATGTGGCACCAACACTGGCTGCCTCTGTGCCATTCCCAGAGGTGCTGCATCTGCCAGCTCTGGGGTGCCCCGATCACCTGCTGGGGCTGGCGATGCCGCTGAAACTTCCCCTGAGGCAGTGAGCAATGCTGCATCTCCCAGTTTTTTGGGGAGTTCAAGGAGTGCAGCCATCTCACAGGGCTGGAGCCAGGGCCAGGGTGGAGAAGAGCTGGGGCTGAGTTGTCACCTCCACCCCACAGGTCCTTCTCTTGGAAGCACCAGCCACTGCAGTGGGTGTGGGCAGTGCAGCCGGACCAGACCCCCTGTCTCATCTGACAGAAGGCAGTGGTGGGATGACCCTGTTATGACATCCTCATCTGTCCCATCTGTGCCAGCACCTGGTCCCACCACCACTGCATCCAGGTGGGCAGCATTGTCTCCAGCCCCTGACATTACCCCTGCTGTTACCCCACCACCCAGCTCTGGCGGCGTGAGTGGGACCCCCTCCCGCTGCTGATGTCAGATCTGGCCCAGGGCCAGGCACTGCACTTTGCCCTGCACCACTTTTGCTGCCTGCTCTGCTCATACAGGCCTTCCAGGCAGACATGTTTCACTTTCGCATCAAAATCAACGAGAGGTCTGTGCCCTTCTTGCTGCCTCCCTCCCACTCCACCATGCTCTGGCCAGTCCCCTCCTGCCTCCTCGGTTGCTGGCAGAGGTTCCCCCTCACCCAGCTCATGCAGGGATGTTGCCTAGGAGGAGGCCAGGGCCTTCAATGACCATGACTGGTGGCACAGCTGCTCTGACACTGTCCAGTGCCTGTGCCGGGCAGGACGAGTGCAGTTGGAGGAGAAGGGGGTGAGTGACAGTGGCCCTGGACTCCAAAGCCACAGTAAGAACTTTATAGGATGTCGCAGTGGGAGAACTTGAGCACTCAATATGAGCGATCAGCAAGCTTCGTTTATTGATTAGCGTTCAGCATACTTATACAGTTCTTAATGAGATCATACATATTCTGTAACCTAACTAATTAATTGGTCACTATCCTAAACATCAACCCCTCCCCTAGTTCCTCATTCTTGGTTGCTTACTCCCTTAGTTCCCATGCCTTAGCTGACCGTAAGAATGCTGTTATCGT